CGGATTAGCTAGGGAAAACCCAAAATTATTAATTCCGGAGTGAGTCTATTGTCAGCTATGAGAAATGGTCACATGAGGGGGGATGTACAACAGACAGATTAGGATTTATAAACTGGTAGATATATCAACAAAAAAACATCAGGGAGCATTGAAATTGTGCTTTAATTACTGACAGATAAATAATGAACAAGACATCATTTTCATTGTCTTGATAATTAAAAAATGATAATTAAAATACATTGTGCAGTCATTGTGCATCTTCCAACAAAACATGCATTACAAAATATTCCAACTACCCTAGAAAAACAACCTATGTGCTATTTCATACCTTGAAGTCTGCATAGTAAGATCTCCTTAAAATTCAATGACAAAAAAATAATGTGAATTATTTATCTTGCCCTTTCACCATGTATATCAAGTTACGCAGGAATATGTAAATAATACAGGAATTGTGACAAATTGTAAAATCTATGGTAGAGAAAAGAAAAAGTGAAAACAAATGACCAAAATATTTTATAGTAAATTGATTTGAAATAAATGAATAAGGGCATATGGCTGATAAGAGATTATATGTTAAACTTCATTCAAAATATTTCCAGAAAAGTGTTTGCTTTTCAAGATAATTCTGGAGAATGACAATCTGACTCCCACATTGAAGGCGTGACTTCTGTGTTTTGTTGATATTTTGGTGGCAAAATCAATTGTCTGTATAATAGTGCCTAGAATGTATTGCCAAGGATGTCCCGCAGCCTGTACAGAAATTTTCAAGAATTTACTTACGAACATATTAAGAAATGCTTCAGATAAAAAACAGACAAGTAAGTCAATTCAGACTTTGCCAGCCCCAAATTTGGGTTAAAAATGTTTTAGCAGTCATTTGCACTTATTCATTTCATAAAATTATATCTACAATAAAAAATATTGGTCAGTTTATTAATATGTTGCTTGTTTCGGCCATAGCTTTGCACCAATTTGACATTGCCTGAATTAGTTTCACTTTCCTGCATTATAGGATATACATGGTGCTTTTGAATACATGATAATTTTTATATCAATATTTCAATTTCAAGATAATTTAAACATGTTTATTAAAACATCATAAAGTAAGTATGACAGTTTTCTTAGTCATAATACTCAGAGCACCCTAATTTCATTTCTTGGTTTAATTAAATCAACCTTTAAATTTGAACAATTTACTAAATTCACTAAGAAAAATTACAAACATTGGCCACACAAACTTTAACATTCAGTTATTATTTATTGCACACGTTCCGGCTAGATGTCTTCATCAGTGCAAATCATAATAGAAAAACCTTTCTCTTGCTTTCTTTACAAATAAAAAATAGTTTTAAAATCTTACTGAAATTTGCATTGATATCTCACACTTCTGTACACATTAAAGAAATAACATCTTACATCAAATGACCACAAACATTTTATTTTCTATGAAAAATTTGGAACTGTTGATTGCAGGTAAAGACTGCACTGACGTGTACAGGTAGGTCTATAGTTCTACATTGACAACATTTGATAAGTCATTATCATGGTCAACATTTGAGGGGTTAAAATTGCTACAAGTCTCAAAAATAAAAATAGAATCCTTATCTTATGGAGCTGAAAATTATATAAATAATTGAGCCATGTGACCAGCCTGCGCATCTGCACAGTCTGATCAGGATCCATGCTGTTCGCTTACCAACCCTATTAAAAGTAGAGAAACTGATAGCGAACAGCATGGATCCTGATCAGACTGTGCAGGCTGGTCTGGATCCATGCTGGTCGCAAACGCACTATGTTGGTTTTGTCTTGATGCGGCTCATATATAGTTCTATGTCTTTTCAATGCTAACTAAATTAATGTACGATGCACTTTATCAGAGAATCATCGAAATATTATAACATCATAATTCAAGGCATATTTCTAATATCCAAAATGAAAATAACTAATCCATACATGTGAACTCTCCCACTTTAAGCGGGAGACTCCCACTTTCTGCAGCCATATTTTCAAAGATTTTTCTTAAAATAAGGGGTATTTTCACAAATTAAAGAAATCTCCTTTATATCAAAATTTTCTTCTTTGTTTATTGCAAATTCAAAAATCTCCCTCTTTTTGAAGAAAAATCTCCCACTTGATCAGTTCACATATATTTTATATGCTAATCTTGTAGAGTATATCTTCAGAGTCAAACTAGATTAGTGTAAATATTACATAATTTACACATGAACTTTAACTAACCTTTCTTTTTTTTATATTCCTACATTAACAGAACAATGTTCTAATTCTAAATTGCTAGTTGTGAAAATAAATTGTACCTTTGATTCTAAAATTATATCCATAAAAATTCAGTCTGAACCATAAAAAGGCTTTTCTATCCCATATGTAGATGAAAAATAAACACATGTTAAATACGGTATATTTCTCCCTCATTCATACAGCATTTATTTATAATATACATTTGAATTGAACTTCTAAGACTTTATTCATAATTAACCATTACTTTCAACAAAGAGCTATTTATCATATTGGAAAATCAGATCAACTCTGCCAACTTTCTTTCAAATTTGATAAATTTGTCAAACTAATATTTACTCTACACAAGAATTTGAATGTCAATACCAAAAATCAAGATATACACTGGCATATCAGTGATTAATATAAAATCTTACACAGTCCAATTGATTTATACCTTAGGTATTATAATTCTTCCTTTTTTTTCGTTCATTGTCATCATGGTGTCATAGTCATCACATGTCATAGTCATCACGTTGCCATAGTCATCACGTTGCCATAGTCATCACAATGCTAAAGTCATCACAATGTCAAAGTCATTACAATGCCATAGTCATCACATGCCATAGTCATCACATGCCATAGTCATCACATGTCATAGTCATCATAATGCCATATTCATCATAATGCCATATTCATCGCAATGACATAGTCATCACATGTCATAGTCATCGCAATGACATAGTCACCACAATGACATAGTCATAACAATGTCATAGTCATCACAATCATGTCATAGTCATCACAATGCCATAGTCATCATGTCATATTCATCACAATGCCATTGTAATCACAATGCCATAGTCATCATGATGTCATAGTCATCATGATGTCATAGTCATCACAATCATGTCATAGTCATCACATGCCATAGTCATCACATGCCATAGTCATCACATGCCATAGTCATCATAATGCCATATTCATCACATGTCATAGTCATCGCAATGACATAGTCACCACAATGACATAGTCATCATGATGTCATAGTCATCACAATCATGTCATAGTCATCACAAAGCCATAGGCATCATGCCATATTCATCACAATGCCATTGTAATCACAATGCCATAGTCATCATGATGTCATAGTCATCACAATGCCATAGTCATCATAATGCCATAGTCATCACAATGTCATAGTCTTTATGATGTCATAGTCATCACAATGTCATAGTCATCATGTTGCCATAGTCATCATAATGCCATTGTAATCACAATGCCATAGTCATCATGATGTCATAGTCATAACAATGCCATAGTCATCATAATGCAATAGTCATCACAACGCCATAGTCATCATGGGGGCCCAAAAATTAATGTTATGAGGGACATCAAGGGACTTCCTCAATCAGAACAACAGTTTAAGTATTACAATGAGCGCAAATGTATTGAAGTGACTTAATATCCAAGATAAACCACGAAAATCAATTGAAGGAAAATCCTTTCCACTTACATGAAATAACTTTAATACCATTATAAATAATGTAGATCAACTATTTACTATTTCAGTCAGGAACATTGACATCTTAATCTATCATATAAAGATAAGCATAAAACTTAAAGGTCTTATTTTCTCACTTCAGCTCTTAAAAAAGTACTTTCCTTTGCTTTCTTTACATAAACTTCTTTAAACTTAGTGAAATTTGCATTGATACATGTATTTTACGCTTCAAGAAATAACTTCTTACATCAGTTGACCACTGACATTTTTGTTTAGAGACCCTATCAATATAAAATTTCATCAACAAATATTATAGGGTATTGAACATATTACATTGCATTTCTTCTTACAGAAATCTTCAACAAAGATGGAGTTATTAACACTTACCCTGACAGTCATCGAATTTAGCACTGGCCCAGAAGCCCGTGGCCAGTGAAAATTAGTTTGGGCCAGTGCAAATTAGTTTCGGGCCAATGTAAATTTTTAGAAAATTTAGTTAAATATATAGTAGGATAAATTCTTAACTGGAATTCGGGCCTGTAAATTCAAAATCTTAAATTCAATGACTGCCCTGATAAATATCTTAATGAACTTAGCCAAAGATTCAATGCCTTTAATATTTTTTTCATTTTAGTTGTAACTCAGAATTATTGCCTTGCTGACTTTAACACCAATTACACAGGGACAAGCTCTTTACTGTTAACTACATTGTTGGTGAAGCTGTATGGATAGCTCAATAGGTAGAGCATTGGATTGTGAATCAGGTGACCCAGGTTGATTCCCAGAACAGCTCAAGTCACTTCCATTCTGATTGATCATGAAATTCTTTCTACAATCATTCGCACTGTATGTCTGCTGCGGTATGTACAAAAGTTATCAGTTCCTTGCAAAAGTGAAGGTAACTAGTACTGGTAAATGGCTTGAAAGCCTGCCCAGGAACAATGTGGTTGCTCTGGTAAATTCAGTGTGGCGTACTGCCATGATCTGTAGTGAAAACTACCAACACTAAACTACAGTGGGCTAGGTCTTGATTTTTCATCTTGATATCCCCAAAAATTATAATGGACAATTCCACAAATGGAAGGCAGACAAGTCTATTTAATAAATTCTGCAGTATAAGGGATTCTGTTAATAACAATACTGATGGTCTAAATATATCAATTAACCTTAAGAGCACTCATTTGGCAATCATGATGTTAAAATACTATGTTAATTACATGTACAACTAACAATATAATAATATAAAATTAATCTACTAAAGTACCTTCTTGGTGATTTCTTTGAAGGTGCTGTCTTTATACAATGTAAATCAGTATCTGACTTATTCTTTTCCCCTTTACCTGTTGATACAATGTTTAAACCACTTAAGTTGGTATCTGGATTGTTGTTTGGTACACTTGGAATAGCAATGGAGGTAACTATTTGACCATCACTAGGTTCTCTATAAAAGAAAAGATTGACTTTGTATTCTAACACAATCCCAATATTTCTCATATAATAAATAACTTGTCATCAAATTAATGACTTGTGAAAAGTGATGTAAAGTTGATACACAGTGATGTCAATATTTACATTTTACTTACTTCTTTTGTCTATTGAATATTAATGACAACATAGTCTTATTTTAGTATACTCGGTGAATATATATCTCCAAGTCTATATAAAAACAGTCTTCTGGTGTATCATCACATGAAGCCTAGTGATTAAAAACCCGAGGGATTATAAGGATCTTACACCAGCTACTAGTACAGAAGAGAATATCTAGCTCAATGGTAAATGTTTATGGTGGTAACGAGGCTCTGCCAAGCTTCCTCTTAACAGTTACCCGAGGGCTCGATATTCCCATCTGTGACAAAAGCCGGTGTTTGATTCTTTTTCCTGCATATTACATATTAATCATAATTCAGAAAGAAATTACAAAAACTAATATTTTCATTTTGCACTTTTTTCTAATAGTACCTTATGAATTTACAACTTCATTCAAAACGGCAAAAGACTTCATTTTAAAAACACAATTCATTCATAAAAGGCGCACGGGAATGATGTCATTTAAAGCACGTAACTTGTATTACATGGGATGTGAAAGACAGCTTTTTCAAGTAGCAGTGTAAACAGAAGTTAATCCTGTCTGATATGCAAGAACACATGTTCCAGCACTACTTACAGGTAGGTCACCTTATCAAAACCTCAGTTATGGTAATTGCCAGTAAGCCGGGACTGTGATTGATGTAAATGGCATGATAATTCTTTCTTATTATCCAGCTGAAAAATCTGTATGTTAAAACAAAAAGTCCAGGTTCAAAGATATTTAGCATCAACCTTGATAGTTGATACCCATAACAAGGTTTAAACAACAAAAGCATTGTGGGGTTTTGATGGGCTAGTGGTTTAGGCTTTTGATCACCTGCACATCATAATCTTCTCAGGGAGCTTATTGTAGTTTGGTTGTTCTTCCCTGGTGCCCATGTTGTGAATAAAATAAGAGGGCATTAGTTTTGAGAATTTCTTCTTACAGTAAAGCTGGAGAGTCACCACATGACTTTAATTGCAATGGCGTGGCTTAAAACCCAAGCAATAAAAAAATTGTTTAAGAATTCGAAATTAAGTAGTCAAGTAAGTCAACATAATTTTCTTCAAAGAATTAAAATGCCAGTTAAAAAAAATCTTCAAAACAAACAAACAAACCCAAAACAAACAAACATACACAAAACAGTACCAAACAACATCACCTTTTTACTGCTTTTTGTTTCTTTTTTCTTCCAATCAATTCAGTCAAGTTGGTTTTAATAACTTTACCTATTAAAGTTAAGTTATGATAAACATAGAACTATGCACTGCTAAACTAAATTATTTCTTTTCTTTTTTTAACGAGAGAATTTAAGTAATATCATGAAGATGTACATGTAGCACAACATACCGGTAATGTTTTGTTTCTCCAATAATAAACATTTCATTCTTAATAATGAGTTCTGGCCTAGGCTAGTGCAAAAAATTACAATGTTGCAGGAAAGTTTGATAAACTTGGTAATGAATCAGCTAGCAACTATAGGAGCTTTCTAACACTTTTAACGTGATTCTTTCACTATATCTAGATTGTATTACATTTTGTTTGTTTTGTTTTTTTAATGTTCTGGGGCATAAATTGATCTAAATTATGTGTAGGCAGACTTCTAAGGAAAGGCTGCTAGTACAGGCAAGGGCATGGGTGGGTGTGTTGTGTGGGGGGGGGGGGTTGCTGGCAAATAAAGATTTCTTTTTTATTTTGGCCTAGGGCTAAAGGTGGCAATGTAGCGATGGATTAGGGAACCAATTGGGGAAACTTGTTAGAGTTCTAATACTAAACATAGTAGAGTTTACACTACTATCTTTCTTCACTATCTATTTTGCCTAATATGTGCTTACATTGTATATTGGTTCTGTTTTTATATGTCTTTTCTGGAGCGAAAATGACAAATTTGTAGCAACATTCAGAAATGTAGTCAGTACGGAACCCATGGTGCTATGTTGAGAAGTCTGCAGTTCCTGAATATGAACAAAATGGGGTTTATCTCTTGTTGTGATTTTTGATCCAGTTAAGAAGCGGAAAAACTCATCGAGGGAAACCACTGTGAATGTAACTATGTGCTTTAAGTCACGCAATATGAACGCTTCCTGTGTGTTGAAGTTAAAAGGGACTCTCACCACTGCTGAGTACTACTTAAAATTTCACTAACAATGGAATCAAGGTAAAGTGATCTTATTTGCATTTCTGGCAAGACATTTCAATGGTAAAAAACCATTATTATTCTCGGTAACATTGATGTTTTAGAGCGTTAGTTCAGTAGTTTTTTTTTTAAGAACTGTTTGATATCTCAGCATCTAGGCATAATTTAATTCAGAAGCAATTATAAGCTCATTTATATATGATGATTCGATATCATATTTCAAACACTGGTGGTGCATATGGTGCATCAATGACTGTGGCGCTATCCTCAAGTTTCTATGACAGTTGTAAATTACCACATGTACATCATTACTATCATGATGATGTCATTTTTTTTTACTTGTTTTGTTTTGCAATAATAACAGATAAACATAAATAATAACGTCAAATTGATACAGATACATGTAATATTGCATAAATTTGTGCAATTTGAATCAATCAAATTTCATACCATTAAATACCACTACACATTTAAATTGTTCACACATTCACAATACACAATAAATCTCTCATGTTTGTCAAACATCTCTGATCGTGCAATAAACCTACTTTATTGACTCTAAAACAATGATAAATATGATACCTACCTCTAATGATATCAAACAATAGGTGACCCTACAGGGCAAATTTATTAGACACACTTGAATAACAATCCTCATGAACCCAACAACTTCACAAAAGCCTATCACCATAGCAGGAAATCATTCTATTAAAAGGGCATGCGCCAAAATTGAACAGATAAAATTACCTGTGTTTGTTGACATGTTTCCAAGCGTTACGTAGGTAGGCGGAGTTGACCTTAAATCTTTACAAACTGAAAGTAGAAATATTTACGGACTTTCAGTATAACCAGATTACTTATTTAGTAAAATGAACGACAGGGTTATTTATTAAGTTAACTTGATGTTAAACAAACATGCAGTGAAATCTCTTTCATTTTGTTAAAGGAATATTTAAAATTATTTTTGAAAATTCTAAAATTTTGTCAAACGGTGTAAATGTACAAAAGTGATTTCGTGAATTTCGTATAATTAGGTTAGAGTTAACTAAATAATCACTACAGTATTCAGAATTGGCCAGACACCATCAATTTTATAGCCTCTTATAAACAGGGTGTTTCTATTTGAAAGACCCTAATTGAAATAAATATTTAATTTATTAAATAATGGTAAAAATTTTGACCAATTCCTAAAGAAAGATGAGTGTATCTAACACTGGAGATATATGCATGGATGATAATTAGCGACCTTGAAAAAGAAGAATAACAAAACATATTTAGATGACATTAATAATAGGTTTTTACAGGGCAAGTTTGTCTTAAGAAACATATCGACACACTTAAAATATTGGCCCTAGTGCTTATGCCGTCCAAGCAAGCCGGTATCGTCTTAACCTTTTACTGCATGAGCATTGCGATCATTGAATTAAGCCTCTTGTTACAAGTTCAAACTGCTATTAAACTATAAAAAAAAAATGCTTCAATACTGATCAAACTGGGCACAAATGTTGGCTGGACCATAGCCTGTGGAATAGCATGCTCAATTTTAAATTTCCAGTTACCATGGTAACGGGGGACGTCTCAAATTTGCCAAAAATCTCTTTTTTGGGTTGTTTTTCCCATCAAAACTGATTTCAAGGTGCAGCAACTTCTCAATTGATTTGAGATAAAGTCTAAGGTTTTCGGTGTTGATAACACGGTACCTTTAAATCGGCCTGAGGCCATTTTAGCCCCCCCCCCCCCACAAGTCCCAAATCTTCTCGGCGATTAGAGGGGCTACTGCCCCACTTCAAACCCCAAAACAGAAGGGGGTACATCCCCCCTGTGGCACCCACTTGGTGTACCTTTTTAATGGGGGTGGCGCCGAAAAAGTAATCACTCTTTTGAACAACATTTCTCAAACGAAAAAACAGTGTTTTGGGCCTAAATAGCGCATGTTTTACACTATTTGAGGCCTCGAACTGGGTGGGGTGTAAAGCCTTCAAAACACGCCTTTATGAGGTAAAAGGTTATAAGGAACATAACCTTTTTATTGCATCTGCTGCCATTCATCAAATCCATTATTCGGTTTTTTGAGCTGTACCCGCTCGGCAGTCATACGGTAACTCATTGCTAATGACGTAACAAATTTCACGTGCAGACGGTCTGCCGTTGCTAGAGTGCATGAGCAAAATGACCGAAAGTTACCTTATTATGGATTTTTGGCATAGTAGGAAGTCGGTTGATTTTAGATATTGGCACACTTGCTCAATACCGTCTAATATTGACAATCTTGAGGCAGCATTAATGCACTTTGGAAGCATTTTTTTACTATTTTCTATTTAAAGTAAGATATGCAATAATTATTAACAAATTCTGGAAAGGTTGATCCTTCGATAGCAACTGGGACTTATGTCCCAGATAGCAACGAGAACTTTTTAAACACAGAAAATTGCTGAGATCTTTCATGAGCAGGAATAAAAATCTGGATTATTCGCAGATGTTTCCAGTAAAGTACCTCCGAACTCTGCATTTTCTGCTTTTTCTGTAAATAAATATTTAAGATTAAACGTGGTTAATACTCTGTGTTTACTACTTGCATTTACTCGGTATTGATAACCAATACTCGTTACACTAAAAACTTAAAAAGCAATACTCGTGACACCGGCGGGACTCCAACGCAATACTCGGTACACTGACATGTGTATTTATTCTCAAAATGCACTGTCATCTGAGGTTCTATTGTTGATTGAACATTTACAACATAAACATTATCATCATTATCACATTTCACTCGATTCAAGTTTTTCTTTTAAGAAAGTATATGCACAAAAACATCAAATTTGACTGATCCGAGCTCATTTATCACGTGAGCAAAGAGACGAATTTTACCTCCTAATTACATTTCAAAGCTATTTCTCAACATTTTTGGGTTTTCAGTAACTAGGGAAATTATCGAAGTATTCCTTTTTCTATGAAATCTATATCAAACCAATTCAAAATGACTACATATCGTCATTGAACTTACCTTCTTTCCTCGTTCAAATTCGCGAAATGGGATGAAAGTCCTCATAATATCGAGCAATATCCCGGGTACGGTATACCGCAGTGATGACGTACTTTACTATCTTCACGACCTACTAGCCGTTTTCCTGGTGCAATAGTTATGCAAAACCGGTGCTAGGGGGCGTGAGGAATGTTGCACTTTATATCATCATCCTTCATGTAGAGACTCAATCAAACCGAGTCTGCAATTTTCATGTATTTTTATATAATTTTTTTGTGATTAATGTTTCCGACGTGTCATATTTTACCAGATTTTTACACTGTTTTTTTTGTATCTATTATCATGTTATACTAATCAAGTAAACCGAAAAATATCAGTTAATCAAAGACATCTCTTTACTATGCCAATATCCTACTCACATGTGTTTACGTGACATTTGTGTAGGCTTAAGGTGTTGCGTGTATCGTTTTGTTTCATTAAATACCGGAGGTTTATATTTGAAACTTCATACACATCCCCGGGATCATAAATGAAGTAATTCACCAAACTTACCTTATACTCTCATAATTTCACATTGGCTTTTACTGAATTGTCCTCTTTGTGATCAAAGCTGAGAAAAGTCAAGTGGAACTTTTTGCTTTATTCGAAAGAGCAATTGATTTGATTCATACTTTTACATAATCGTAAATATTCACATAAAAATATATTTGTTTGTTTCTATAGCATGTATTTGTAGGAAATACGTGTAGAAAAGGGTAGATTAAATGTGATCATAAAATTAAATAGATAGCATTTCATCGCCATGTAATCCCTATATCCCTTTATCCGTTTGTAGATGTCTGCGAAATAATCTACCTTCTTTGAGCGCAAGATCGATATGTTTTTTGTCAGTTGCTTTCCATTAGAGTACAATTCACAAATTTAGTTTTAAACAGTATGCCGATTCCAGCCCATTTTCGCTCTGCTTTAACTCAGTCAGAATGTCTATTAGGTTGTAATTTTTGGGGAGGCTATGCCGACCCAATGTTAATAACTGTTCGTCAAATCTTACTGCCGCGGTAATCAGGTCACTGCCGCGGTAATCAGGTCAAAAAATAGTACCTTGATCTTTTCTAAGCTGACTCATCACTCATCACAGACATTTACAATATGAAAATATTTTCATTCTTTAATTTCATATCTGCAATTTGTAAAGATAATAATTCTCTGAAAAATTCTTTATTTTTGTTTAAATCACTACTTCGTGACGTCATACTGCCGCGGTAATCAGGTTTAGGCACGTCTGTAATAAATAGTTCTGGTATGAAAACCCTTCAAAATAATAACTTTATCAATATTTTTTTAACAAAAAGCATAAATGAAAATTTGTAAGTAAATGCTTTAATTTAGTGGCAAATATTCTTTATTATTCTTGATAACAATTTTCCAATTACTACGCAGCGACCAACTGTTTATGACGGGTCATTAACTAGAACGTTCCAACACCGTATTCTCCATTGTGTACACCGGTCTTACTGACGATATTTGAGACCGGTGTATATACAATGCCGTATTCTCAATATCATGCATGTTCTTTTGTTGTTATAAACCATTAAAAGTCCTTAATATTTTTTAAAGACAAATAATTGTAAACTGTCGCTTACATCAGAGACATGGATCATGCTTGCGTGATAACTAAGGAAAACTAACTTATTAGTACACCCCAGGAGGCTGTACGCGGAAAACGGTCATAAACCGCTATATCATAGCTGTTAGTAAATATTTTGCATACATTTAACTAAAAATTCACTGATGGTGATGAGCATATAGTTTGAAACATTATATTCTTGAACCATTATCGCCGAAAAAAAACTATTTAACTACAAAACCCCTATAAGGACCTTCCGACAAAATTCCAGCACAATATTACATTTTACATTAGCAAAATAAAAAAGCAATACTTATATTTTCATCTTACATAATTCATTAATCAAACTTTTAACATAAAAGTATATTTGGCAATTGACAGATCCCTACTCTGATCTTTTATTTGTATAGGAATAAATTTAAACATGTGCTCTTTTGTTTAGGAATATTTTGTAGTGAAAGTCTTATATATTCACTGATCTCATAATTAGAATTAGACAGGTCAGGGATTTATACAACCAGTTGTTTACTTAACTATGCTCATTTTAATCCCAATAGAAACATTCAAATATTTGGGGTAAAAAACATGATCAAAGTACCTAGTAGTCGTTTACCCGGTGGTGATCCCATTAAACTGATTATAGATTCGAATTGATTAGAAAACACAAATAGAAACATGTGTTTCCGTACAACAAAAATCGGAAGTAAAGTGGACAGTTAATTGACAGAAATATGTGGTCAAATATGTTTTAACAAAGAAATAATTATTTCAGAGAAAGACGCAAAGATCAGTATGACCCCGTATTGTGTAATTAGAAAGTTTATTCAATTCTAGGGCATACATCATAATTTGATAGTCCATGTGTAATAAAATTCAAATTTTCAATACAGATTATGAGATACATAAAAAATATTAAAGAATAAGAAGCTTTAATTAAAAAAACAAAAACAAAAAAAACCGCATACATATACAAATTACTTACAGTCGAGCATCGGGAAGTCATTAACATATCTTACGAAACTTTAATTTGAAAACGATATTTGCGCGCGCTGAAGTGATTAATGTTTATTTGAAAAATAAAAAAAAGAACTTTTATGTTTGTGTTCTAAAAATAATCGGCGGCATAAGAGGAATTTCTTATTCATTTTACAACACTTGAAAAATTACTACAGAAAATGTGTTGTTGTTTTTTTGTTTTGTTTTCAACAAAAGTGAGTGTGTTTTAAGTTTATTTATACTCGGCGCCGGAATAACCATATGTCCGAGATTATAGCATCTGGGACGTCTTTTTCAAGCAGATTCTTCCTGGAAGCCCATTCTTCGTTCTTTGGTGGTAAAGGAGA